TGTGTGTGTGTCCGGTACTAACCTGTGAAGTTGGCGCCTGGATGCAGGTACCTTGAAGATGAAGCTGGAGCTATGGCGCCACAGGTAAGTCTCAGTGGCCTCCGCCAGCCATCTCTCTCCCCAACACTACTCTACTCCTATCACCGCCCGGCGCTGAAGACTACCACTACAGCTACTAGCGCCCAGCGCTGTAGACTACTGCTAGCGCTAAAACTACTCCTGGAGCGCTCCTCCAGAGTGCTGCTGCCGAATCCTGAAGACTACTCCTGCCTTCTGCCTGCCCGTGAAGTGCATGGGAACGCCCTATGTACTACCTCGGCCTGCCTCCTGACTGCCTCCGACTGCCTGCAGTTGCAGGGCGGGGCAGTCCAGGAGGCTGCTCTTGCCAATGCCAAAACGAGCCAGGGCCTGGCGCTGCAGCTCCTGCTGAGGCTGTCGTGGGAACAGGCCAAAAATAGCCTGTTCCTTAAACCCTGGTTTGGTGCCTGAATGTCAGGGGAGGTAGATCTTACGAGGGCCCGAAAGTGGCCCTCCGTTTCCGGCTGAAAAGACTCAGGGCCTGGAAAGCCCTGTTTTAGGCTGAAACGACATAGGGCCTGCAGGCCCTCGTTTTCAGGCTTTCAGGCTGAAACGACACAGGGCCTGTAAGCCCTTGTTTTCAGGCTTTTAGGCTGCGAACGCTGGTCGGGCCCTGCAGGCCCGTATGGCTGCGCAGTATGCCACAATTTGACTGTACGTTCTATTCGAAAAAAAAAGAGAAAGTCCGATTTTCGAAGGTAATTCGAAAAGAACCTACGTACGTTTTTTTTCGGGGTAAGAAGGTAGTCACACTCTAGCACGGGATTCCGAGGGCAACCGGAGGTCTTATAAAAATGTGGTCTTGGGCTCGAACCCTGCCCCGAGCTCAAGATAGGGGTCTTGAGCAGGGGTCGCCAACGGGTCGGCGCGGCCCAGCCCGACCGTACCCTGTGGTATGGATGGGTGTAAGTATGGCAAAATTACCGTCTTCCCCCGAACACAACACACTCTGATACTGAAAGTATACAAGGTAACGTTCCGATCCATTGCAGCCAAAACGAGGGTGCGTTGTGTTCGGGAGAAGACAGTAGCATGGTGCGGGTTAGCTGGGTTTGGATGCCTGCTGAGAGGATCCGACGGGTTGGGGAGACTGTGGGGCAGGTGCAGCTGGGTGAAAGAAAAGTACTCAGGCGATGCCGTTGAAAAGGCAAAGCCACAGCTCCTGTTACGGCTGGGTGAAGGTTTGGCCAGGGTGATCGGAGGCCACGGACAAGTACTACGACTATTAGGGCTAGGCACCACCGGTCTTATGTTCAGGCTCTTGACGGCCTTGAGATATGATTGTGGAACTGACCAGCCCTGGGTAGCACACCGAACATGTTTGGTGCCTTACCGAGCGTCCGAACATGCATCCGAACATGTTCGGACGCTCGCCGAGCGGGAATCGAACATGTTCAGCCAAGTGCAAAAAACAAAAAAAAAGACCCCCACGGGTGTGTGTGTGGCATGTGTGTACGTTCAGGAGCGATAGGCAATGCCCCCCAAAGCCCCCACAGCACCTATATATAAAATAATAAATAAAATAATATCAATAATAATAATAATAATAACAATAAAATGTTCGGGCTCGGTCGATTTTGGGCCACGTTCGGGCTCGGTACTGAGCGTTCGGGTTCGGTCACCGAGCCTGAGCGCGCTGCTACGCAGGACCGGCCCTAGGTGATTCGACAATTTCATACATCTGGTTCCATTTGGATTTGAGCTCAGGTCTATATTTCAACAAATGATTCATGTACCAACTGAATTAGGCCCGTTCGTGGTAATTGTTTCTGGCAGGGCGCCATAGTGCCTTTTTTCCCTCAAGTGGTAGGACCACTCCCAGCACCAAAGTTTGAAGTTCAACTTCCGTTGGTGGTGGTTGGGCCGTTGGCCATAGCAAGGTGCTACAAAGTCAGAAAACCTTTTCACTCTAGTCAAAATTTAACCCGCGCAAGAGGGTTTTCTGGTATCAAGCGTGGTGAGAGCTTCCCAAGCTAGCGTTGGCAATGCATGCACATGTGGCCTTGTGATGAGAATGGTGATCATGATGAGCATGGCTAGCACCGGTCATGCACGCACACAGTGTGGGGTGAGTGTGGTAAGCGTGCTGAGTGAGCATGGCAAGCGTGGTGAGCATGGATGGGTGATCAGTGCCATCTTAGAGCATGAGCTTGGCAGAGATCCTTTCTCATTTATCTACTCTTCACTAGAATACACGTGGAATGGACGACGTTGATGTGTCAAGCGCGAGCACGCCAGGTGAGTCCTCGGTGATGTCTCGGCCTGACACACTCATCGGTGATCTCTTGGCATGGCTCAAGCTCTCCAGGTGTGTACTCGGTTATTGCAGCCTGGCGCGACCGTGCCAGGGGTCGTTTATTTGTTTTTCCCACTTGCTTGCATCACATGGGCTAGATGTGGAAACACATCTAGGTCCAGGTTTTAAAGCCCGCCGGCTGTTCTCTGAAGTTGTGTTTTGGCATGTAATTTATGACATGACCACCAGATTTCCCTACGAACAACTGTATAGTACAGTCCACACAGTGGGGTGGCCCCCTGAGCCTCATCGCCTTGCCCTTTTCTCACCTCGACGTCTACATGCTTTAAGTCAGAAGAATGGGAAACAAACAAACTTACCTGAACGTCTCCATGTGTGATAGAACCGTAACCTCCTCCCCAGGTGTGATCTCCAGAGGCAAGGGTCTGCCACAATACGAGGCCCCACATAATAAACACCACCGATTGCATACTAGTTATCGATTAGAAGACTGGAAAACGTGTATTACTGCGACGGGAATAATAAGCCCAGGATAGATCATATGCAATGGGGAAACAAAGAAATGGCATCAACCTCACATTCGTAAAGAAGATATCAACAGGAGAACGACTGTAATGCAAAAGAACAAAAGCGACCATCTAAGGGATACACCGACAAGCTGAATGTAGTCTCTTAGGACTTCTTGCTTTTCGTTTTCTCTTTTTTCAGAAGAGGAATGCTTGAATCATCATGATCTTGGCCAGAACAAACAGAAGCCAACTCATCTCCAACAGACAGACCACAGCAAACTAACAACCACAGCTGAAACACGGAGATTCTACAACTCTCTCCCTCCATTCAGGGTGAAAGTTCTCTCAATCCAGTACCTGATGACCATGACTGAAAGCTGAAAAAATACTATGCATCAAGCGAACATGGCGGCAAAGATCGACAAGACGAATAGAAGGGGCCAACATTATGAAGTCGTACAATTCGTTTAAAAAGAAAAGAAGCAGATGCAGAGAGAAAGAGAGAGAGTGAAGCACAACAGCCCAACATTCACTACCTCTTCCCAGCAATGGCCACAAAAGAACTTCCCGCTAAAGCTCCAATGTCTGCTTCCCTCCTCAGTCCTGTACCTCTCTCTCTCTCTCTCTCTCTCTCTCTCTCTCTCTCTCTCTCTCTCTCTCTCTCTTCCCCCACACAACCACCACCCCCAACCGATGCCCTTGAGTGTATTTCAGCAAGTAGTTAGCCCCCTTGATATGACTACAGAGATAATGTTCCCTGCTTTGCTTTTTCCCCAGCCTCATTTCCTCGCTTTGGATTCAAACACCCCTACACATTGGCCAATGAGCTTGGCCAATGAGCTCAGCGTTCAATCCCTATTCAATAACCTCCTCTTTCCATTTGCAAGGGAACGCAAGGGGAAGGAAGGCAGCAACGTTGAAAGAAGGGAAGACGATTAAGGGCATACTCAACACAAGGACTTTTCTCTGATGCATTGCATATCAATCACAGTCAAATCCAGTCGAACCGATGGTGGAGTATGGCCTAACTTCGGCAATAAAGCAGGCAATCAGGTTCAGAAGGGGGGAAAGGTCTGAAAATGGCAGGGATGGCTGTAAGGATTTAAAAACGCCTTTGGGGTTTGGAGGTATGCGGTTCTAGATCCTGCACCTGAGTAGGGGTTGACGATTAAGTACTGTTGTCATTGATAGCCTCTCGAAGTTGAACTTCTCATCCGATGCATGCTGCACTTCCAGTCATCCCCAAGGCAACAAAGAAAACAGACGCAGTATCAGCATCATGGGTATGAGAACTGGGAGGAGAGGATGAAGAGGGTCTCAATCTAGTACAGAGTCCCAGCCTGGTCTAGGGTCTCAGCCTGACAGTCTCAGTCTGCTCAGGGTCTGGTCCGAGGTCTCAGTCTGGCCCAGTGGCCTCAGTCTCGCCCAGGGTCTCTTCAGCCCCGTCCAGGGTCTCTTCGTCCCGGTCCAGTACAAGCAGGAACAGGGGGAAGAGTAGACGAGAAAGAGGGACGACGAGGGGGAGGAGAAGATGGAGAGAAGAGGAGAAGAAGGATAAAGGAGGGGGAGGAAGATAAAGGAGGAGAACGTAGCAGCAGGAGAAAGAGGAGAGAGGATCAGAAACAGGGAGAAAGAGGAGAGAGGATCAGAAACAGGGAGAAAGAGGAGAGGATCAGAAACAGGGAGAAACAGGAGAGAGGATCAGAAACAGGGAGAAAGAGGAGAGAGAATCAGAAACAGGGAGAAAGAGGAGAGAGGATCAGAAACAGGGAGGAAGAGGAGGAGAAAGAGGAGGAGAAAGAGAAGGATGCAGAAACGAGGAGGGGTAGGCGAAGGAGGTGAAGGAGGAGGAAGAGAAGGAAGAGAAGGAAGAGGAGGAAGAGAAGGAAGAGGAGGGAGAAGAGGGAGAGGAGGAAGAGAGGAAGAGGAGGAAGAGGAGGAAGAGGAGGAAGAGGAGGAAGAGGAGGAAGAGGAGGAAGAGGAGGAATTAGGAGGGAGAGGAGGGAGAGGAGGGAGAGGAGGGAGAGGAAGAGGAAGAAGAGGAAGAAGTGGAGAAAAAAGGAGGGGGAGDGGGGGGAGKGGGGGGAGGAGAGGGAGGAAGGGGAGGAAGAGGAGGAAGAGGAAGAAGTGGAGAACGAAGGAGGAGGAGAGGAGGGGGGGGAGGAGGAGGAAGAGGAGGAGAGGAGGAAACGGAGGAAAAGGAGGAAGGGAAGAGAGAGGCCAAAGAGGAGGAAGAGGAGGAAGAGGAGGAAGAGGAGGAAGAGGAAGAGGAGGAAGGAGGAGAGAGGACAGAGGAGGAGGAGGAAGAAGAGAAAGAGAAAGAGAAGAAAAAAGCGGAGGAGGTAGAAAGGAGGAGGGGGAGGACGCGGTAGACAAGGTAGAGAAGTACAAGGTCGAGCCAGTAGAGGAGGAGGAGGAGGTGCTGCCATACCTCCAAGACTTGAGATACACATTATCAGATGAACATCAACCAATATGTGCAAAAGCAACAATACCACGCTGACTCTGCCCAATAGCGCTAAGCATTCCTCAGAAATTGGAAAGGTCTCGAAGAACACTCTGATGCTTGATAACACCATGAAACGATAACAAAGAGGGAGGATTTGTTGTCCCTATTTTTCAGTATGTTATGCCACAGGGAAAACTAACTGCTCCAAATAGCCCTACTTTTAGGTCAAAACAACTGGAGAGGGGAGATGGTGAAGAGACAGTCTTCCTGTTTTCAACTTCCAGTTGTTTAACTTCAACCGTACAACGGTTGAAAGGAAAGGTATCACTGGTTCTTTTCTTTTTTTTTCCTTTTTTTTCCTTTTTTTTCCTTTTTTTCCTTTTTTTTCTTTTTTTCTCTTTGTTTTTTTCCCTCCTCATCAGGAAACACACTCAAAATTCCACTATCATCTTTCCGCAAATCTAATTGTGGTTCTACATTTAGATAGATATTGGTATTTGTCTTTTTGCATTTGTCGATTTCAAGCCGCAGTGCTGCTTTGGAACAAACATTCATCTACCCGCTCTCGATTCAACAAATCAATGTGCGACATTTGCACGCATTAAAATATACATGAAATTTGATGAAAATAATAAAAATATATAGGGTTCAGTCTCCTGACGAGTCGGTGAAACTCCGACGAAACAGTTTGTCACAGCCCCTCGTTTGTTGTCCTCTTCTCCCTCTCGGCCTACGGTTTACCGGGCAGCTCTGTTTGACGATATATAGTCACAGAGAACTGTGCGGTGAACTGTGGGGAGAAAGGCGGGCAAGGACAAGAAACTTGGGAGTTGTGACAGAATGTTTTGTCGGATCCTTATCTCTTACACTGCCATGACCCCTTCCTCTTTCTTTCTTTTTTCCTTCCCTCAAATCACTCCTCCAACTAAGAACGGCCAGGCACCACCACCCGTAGAATCAAGAAAGAGCTCTCAATCCATCAATCCCTGCTATGTCTGAACCTGGTGTAGCATAACCCCATTGATGTGCGCGCCCCTCGAAAGACAAATTCAGTTTGTAGCTCAGACGACAGATGGGGAACGAAAGAAAACAAGGCTCAACAAAGCAGGATACAATTTTCCTGAAAGAACAAAGAGCACACCTGATCGATAATAAACAGGTCTTGATCGAGCTTTGCCAAAACGAAGCCCAGGTTGAACTGCCCAATGATCTGCACAGCAAACCAACGACTGCATGGGCATCAAAACCCTCATCAAAACTCAGATAGCATTTGGATAAGATTAAAGATCATTCACAACAACAACAAAAAAAAGATTAAAGATCATTCACAGTCCTGATCCGTTTCATACCTGATCAGGATCTGTACCGCTCCTGATCAATTTATGGGACACATATGAAACTGTTAATGAACAGATCATTAGTTTCAAATCCTGATGAAATCAGATGGATAAAGTTTGATATCCGATCCCTATCTGTCATGGTGAGTATACAGTCATCGAAGTAACAGATGGGTACAGGCTACAATACCTGATCCCTGCCTACACTCAGCGGTTCAAAAACCTGGTGCGCGGAACGGTTAAAAATGTACGGTACTGGTATTGATCTGGCCCAGGCTCGATCCCTGGATCTCATGCTTGGTACCAGGACACTTACCGTTCTGTGCCAGCGCCAACTTATTCCAGACGTATCCCTGGACCAGGCTGACAGCCCATTGGCTGTTCCCACCGCTCACACGCACCTGTGTGACACCGTGTCTGTACTCTGGTTCAGACCATTGTACGTGAGAGTTCGCATTGAGCTGAGGCTGGGCTCTTGGGTAAAGGATTCTCTGGTTTGAATTTCCATTTGTCCTTTACTCTGGTTCAGTGTTCTGTGCTCTGGCTCAGACCATTGTATGTGAGTTCGCCATTTAGATGCTGATGGTCCCCATCTTTTCTTCATTCCAGTCAAGTTCTGTGTCCAGTCTAGGTTGAAGCAGACAGGAGAAAGATGAAGTTAAAGGCAAGTGCAGAGATCTGTGAGAGAGAGTGAGAGTGAGAAAGACTCCATTTGTGCTTTACTCTGTGCTCTGGCTTACACCATGGTATGTGAGTTCGACATTGAGCTGCTGATGGTCCCCATTCTTTCTTCATTGCAGGTAACTTCAGTGTCCAGTCTGAGTTAAGGCAGACAGGAGAAAGGCGAAGGAAAAGGCAAGTGCAGAGAAACTGTCAGAGAGAGTGAGAGCAACGGAAACTGAGAGAGAGAGAGAGAGGGAGAGAGAGAGAGAGAGAGAGAGAGAGAGAGAGAGAGAGAGAGAGAGAGAGAGAGAGAGAGAGAGAGAGAGAGAGA